CCCTCTTTCCTATATGGGGCAATCCATTCCCATCATCTGTTTTCGGTATGCTAAAGTGAATTCATTTGCTCTCCGAATTCAGGCCTATTCATAGGATTCCTACCAGTGGCTTTAATTACCTCTAACATTTCAATCTCTTGACTGCCTCAGCTACTAGAGCCTGCTGGAAAATATCTAGTCTCCTTCCTTTGAAATATAAGGTATTTCAAATTTGTTCCTAAACGCATTCTCTTCTCAGCACCTATGTATTAGCCTCTCTCTTACTGCTTCCAATTACACCACTGCCTTTCTAGCCTCTTTCCTTTAGCTCGTGTACCTTCCTCTGCTTGCCAAAGCTCTTTTGCATCTTTTGAGATCCAATTAAACTGTATATCCTTTCAAATTTTTTATGATTTTCCAAGGCTGTTAATCCTGCACTCCCACATAGAACTCTATTAAAACTTATATTAAAGAACCTGTGGTACTAAATTGTAATGTCACAGGTATATATAGGTAGATCTCTCACACACACTGTTATTCAACTCCTAGACAATCAGCTGTGGGGAAAAAGCTCATGTCTTAGTCGTCTTTTTATCTAAGGATCTGGCATATTCATTTATATCTTTACATTATAAATGTATTGACATTTTCTACATATTTGGATGGAGGGAGTTTAAAGTTAAGACTGAACAAATGAAAGTCTCACTACCCAACCTGTCATATGTGGTCTTTACATCTGAGTCTATTCTTTCCTGTCCTTGCCCATCCCCCAAGTAACTTTCTAACTCCACAGTTTCATATATATATATACACACATATGAAATTTTTTAAACCTATAAGCCTTTTCCAGACCATGGGCTAGACCCTTATGTGCCTTTTCTTCATCGATGATTAATAAATCCCCTCCTTCAGACAGTTCAGAAAATCCTATCTTCTTCATGAAGACTTCATTTTCCTTCATTTCTTCCACTGATTATCTCAAAACATATAATTGCCCACTTGCTTTCCCATTGTACGACACTGACTTCACCAATATTAGAACTTCATTACTGACCTACTCACTAAAGGTTGAAAGTTGACATAAAGCAAGTTCATTCTGGTGACCTCTGAACCCACTTTTGGTCCACAATCTACAGATATAATATCTGTAAAGATATCGAGACTGTGATATACTTAGTATTAATTTAATGATCCATGTGTTTTACCGTCCATATTTTATGCTTTGTCAGCTTCTAAAGTAGTGGTTCTTAACGTGTTGACAGGCATGACAAAAAGCCCCTTAAAAAGTGTCTCCCCTGCTGCTTTCCTGATCTGTAGTCAGATGCTCTACCACTGAGCCATACCCCCTGCTTTCCTTATCTGAACATAAAAACAGAGTTTTGCCCATGTTGTCTTTTCTGTACTATTCTAACTCGCAGCAGGGAACAGATTTTAAAGTCCAGCGTACCGGCTTCTTTTGAGAACTACGACCCTAGAAAACAGCCTACATATGTGTCACTTGATAATTCAGAACACAGAGCCAAGGGCAGATGGTGCTTCCTAAGTTACTGATGGAAACCGTGTGCTTGCACTGCCCATTGACACAGGCTCGCCTGCTCTCTCTCCTCCAGCTGCAGGTACCTTCAGCTGCACCATGAAATTCACTGTCCGGGACTGCGACCCTGACACGGGGGTTCCAGCTGAGGAGGGGTATGATGATGAGTACGTGGTGAGTCTCCCCTGCAGAGAGACTCACTTTGACCCCTTGCACCACTGAGTTACTTCTGTCTGGAGAGAACATTTTTATCTGACATGAACTTATGGGATTGTATTCTTCTCAAACACACTACAGCTGAGGAGGACCTGGGCTAATCCTCCTGTCGTGGGAGTGCATCATACCAAAGAGAATTGGGATTTACCACTTCAGTACTGATTAAAGCAAAACTCACCCTTTTTAATGTTTTTATAATAGGGATAATTAAGAGATGAAAATAATTACATGATTTTCATTGAGATCAGTTTTATTTAAAGTATTGGGGGTAGGGGTTTTTTGTTGTTGTTCAGCAGCTTTTGGTTTGCTTATAATGTAGCCACATCATGGACTGAAAAGCCTTCACAGAATGCAGGGAAAAGTTTTAGAAATATCTACCTGTTCGTGAATGCAAAGTTCAGAAGGCCCTGTATGGCTTGAACTCTGCAGTTACTGTGGCAGTGTGACTGCTCTGTACCTACACCAGGGCTACAGACGTTGATCTGAATATGGCTCTTGCCAGATGACCTGTTTTCTTGCTTTCCTTTGCTAGGGCCTACCTTGTTAGACTTATCCAGACTACAGAACTTCAAACTAGCTTGGTAGTAGAGTTTTTCCTAGGCTCCTGCAAAGGCTGTAACACAGGATGATAAAACCAAATGAACCAGTCTCTTCTACCTTTGTACTGAACTGAGAGGACTCATTTTCTGACCCCTGTTTGTTAACCCACTAGCTAGAAGATCTTGAAGTGACTGTGTCTGACCACATTCAGAAGGTAATGAAGCCTAACTTTGCTGCTGCCTGGGAAGAGGTAGGCGACACCTTTGAGAAAGAGGAGACCTTTGCCCTCAGTTCTACCAAAACTCTTGAAGGTGAGAACAATTTTGCTATCAGTATATTGCCTGATAGCAGTCTAACACCTAATAGGCATATTTGTTATTCCAGAAGGACTCCCTTTTCTTTAAAAACTCCGTAAACTATTTCACTTTAAAAGGCCAGAACGCTGTCTTCATCATCTAACAGAGTCAACCCATTTCCAGTCCAGTAGCCTCCCTCCACACACCACCACCAACCCTGTGCACCCCCAACTCCCAGCACCAACTAGTGCAGAGGCAGATCCCTACGCTGACCTTTTCTCATACAGTTGCATCAATCTTCTCAACACAGAAGCTGTCAACAACATCATCACATTTCTGGGCATGCAGCCATGTGAGAGGTCAGACAAAGTACCTGAGAACAAGAATTCCCATTCCCTCTATCTGGCAGGTAAGAAATTTTCACCAGATTTCTCCTTTATTTTGTTGCAAAATTTGATAGGAAGGGATGTGCATGGGCATCTCATGCCCTGCTACTGTCCCATTATCCCATTATGCGTTACAACTTGAAGCCCCATCAAAATGAATAATGTTTTAGCTGTTTAATTTGCATATGCTATTCTTAGATGGTTCTTTTAAGATGTATATTTGGCCCAAGACACTTAAATCTCTTCTACAGATACCAGTGCCCCCCCCCCCGCTTAAGTACTCCATATCAATATTATTGAATACCTTCTATGTACCTGGTATTATGGGAATATAAAAGATTATTTAGAATTTGTATGTAGGATTCAATTCCCACCATAAGCACAAATCTCTAGAAAAGCTAAACTAAAATAATAGAAAGGAAATGCAGGCAGAGCATGATAAATTTCGTTATTCAGAGCTTGTTTTGAGTTCTTAACGTGGTTTTCCTCACTTTTTTCCTCTCAGGTGTATACAGAGGTGGCTATGATTTATTGGTGAGGTCCAGGCTGGCCTTAGCAGATGGGGTGACCATGCAGGTGACTGTCAGAAGCAAAGAGGGAACACCTGTAGATGTTATCTTGGCTTCTGTTGGATAAGTTTTTACTGGGTGAGATGAAGTTGATGTACCCTTCACTGTCAGTGGGCTTTCAGGCTATTGGCATGAATTTCCCAGAATCATACTTTCAAAAATGAATGACTTCAGAAAAGCAAATTATATGTTTGGCCCTGAGCCAGCAGATCAAGCAGATGTCTGTCCTTGTGCATGTCTTTTTGTTGTTCCTTTTTCTTTTTATTACACTTGGTCAGCTTTGGTATGGTAGTACATCTTTGGGTGATCCTGAAAATCAAATACTATCCTATGCCCCAGCTGCTTAACTTCATTAAATTCTTTAATTCACTGTGTATCTGAAAGCTCCTGGCAATGTTGGAAAGCTTTTATCCCAGAGGGGTGGTGGGGGAGCGGGAGCCAGAGTCCACTTTTGTCAAAATTCATTTTTATTAATAGAAAATAAACACTTATTCCAGTTGTTATACTTGAAGTTGCTAATAAAAAAAAAAGAATTTAAAATCACCACTTAATAATCCTGTTTTAACTAAGACAATGAAACTGTGGCTTAAAAAAAAAAGTATTCAGCACCATTTGCTCATAGAACTTTCAGACTTTGTTCTTAAAGTTTCTGGAACTTTCCCATCTGTAAAGTACAGGAATTGCTGAGCTACATGAGGAACCCTCTCTGGGACAACCAACGAGAAGTTAAGCAATCAGTATATATTCAGCCTGGTAACTTGGACTGTACAACGATCCTCTCCTCTCCACTCTGGCTCAGGAGGGACATGCTTCTAAGCACTGAGGTATGACGAGTCCGACTGTTATTAGCTGAAAAGACCAGTTCTAACAGCAAATAACAGTAAATCTCTGGCACAGAGACTACTGTCCTTAATGTTCTGTGATTTTAGGAAATTCTGTAAATAGCTTGGCTTTACTTCAATTTACTCAGAAATGAAACATGTTTAATAAGGTTAAACTACTCTGCTAGCGTAAGTGTCTGTTGGTTTAGTGTCCTTATAAAATACATACATAATACGTGTAGGTAAATCATAGTCTTAAAGTATACTTAGAATACTGCATTATTGAAACCAAAGTCTAACAAAATGACTACAGTTAGAAGCAGCTAATGAAACTAAATCTAAAGTTATGACAAGGGAGACTCATTCTTACTTGAAGCTGTGTCACTTAGAGAATTAAAGCCATTCAAGGCGAGGTGAAGGTGGCACCTTTAGATAATTCCAACCAGGGCCAGAAATTAGCATTTCTAAATATTTCAGAGAAGTCCATAGAAGTGTTTCAAAGACTTTTATGCAAAAGAATGTCTGTCTGTCTTTCTGCATCAGTGAGTAGTAGTGCCCATCAGAATTTCCTAATAACACAAAGACAAAGGCAAGTCCATACACTTGATCAGATGTCAAAGGAATGGGAGGTGGACTATTAGGTCACCCTTAGAGCTTCTGCTGGCTTTTTACTATATGCTGTTCACCAGTGTGAGTCAGGTGGACTTTTGTGAGAGAATAGTGTTTGGTGGCCAGGACCTCTTTTGGGCGTTTCTTGCTAAGTGGAATACACAACAGATAAGGGAATAGGGGAGGTAATACAGGGAAGCTACTCTTTCCAGCTCAGAAGGAGTTGATGAAGCCCATATATGCATTCAAGAAGCCCATGGGATCCTCTAGCTGTGGATAGTGGCTAATGTGGTCATCCAGAATCGACACTGTGGACCGCGGCAGCGTTTTCCTAGTGGAAGAGAACAGCATGTAGGTGAACTTGAGGCTGGAGGGAGGGGGAGGGATGTAAGCCAGTGGGCAGCCCTAGTAAACGCCCCTGTGGACATACCACACTGGAAGGAACCAACAAAGAGCTTATTCACCTTCTACTTTGGAATTATATCATCTATCTGTCTTAGGCAGATAAACTTGCCAATTCCATTTATGATGTATACAGACTAGTTTTTAAATGCTCATATTCCAACAGACAACAACGTGAAAATATAACACATATACAACACATGTCAGAGCGGGATGACTTCCAGCTCCTTGGAGAAGTGGGCCATTCAGCAATTCACTGTCCAAGTAAAGATACAAAAGACCTTGCTTAACCTGAGGAGATGAGAGAGGGTATTTTTGTTTAAAATTAAATGAAAGCTATTTACTACTGGGTTGTTTCTACTAGGCCATGTGAAGGTATGGAACATTTTCATGTGACATAATCAAGCTCTCATATTCCGACACCTTCCAAATAAATACCTAGAGAGAGGAACCACCTGCGAAGGCACTGTCCCACAGTTCATTCTCCCCATGCAGTCTCCTCAGCTGAGGGCAATGAGTTGGCTTTACAATCAGACTAAAGCAAACGTTTCTTAAAATATATCCTCTTCCATTCCTTGGTTCACGTGATAGCTGTTTCTTACCTGTACATCTCGGAACATGTAGTAACCATGATAGTGAAAACAGACTGTATAAACCAAGAGAATGTATAACTGAATTTCTTGACCTTTACATTATGTGAGAGTAAGAGTCCCCATTTCATCCTCTATTATGTGTTTCCTAGATGAACAGCCAGTGAGGTCAGAGACAGAGGCTAGATTGCCTCAACAGACAATCCTGTTCACCACTGTCAGGATGAGGTACTAAAAAAACAAAGACCCCTGAGGGAGACTCACCTGTACAGCTCCAAAAACTCTGGATAGGGATTCACTGGATCCAGTGGCCCATAGATAAAATGAACTAGGAAAGGGAAGAGGAATGAATTATTAACAGCTCTCACATCCATTTTCCTATTCCCACTGTAAAATTAACTACCCCTCAAAAAAAAAATTTTTTTTCTTTAATTTTTTTTTATAATAGAAAACCTTTCAATAAGTAGGTTACAAGGATCTTTCAATAAGTAGGTTACAAGGAACATATGGGAATAAGCCTAAAAATCAGTCCATTTGAGACCTTTTTTCCTGTAAACAACCATTCAGTCCCTTCATCTCTTCTGTGCCCTGGACCAAAAGGAATAAGCCCCACTTCCAACATTCCATTTTTATAAATCCAGAAGACTGTCATTCTTTAAGTCTCTCTCTTCAGTTATAATTGACCCTTGACATTTGAAATCAACCAATGATAGCCTGAGCACTAATTACTCTGTGTGAGATAGTGCACTGAATTTCTTTTTTAAATCCATAAGAATGAAGAGAGAAATAAGCAGAGACCACCTATAGCCTCTTTATTAGTAATCTAAACAGCCTGCTGTCCCAGCAATTCAGCATTGAATGTGGCAGCTACTGACAATGCACAGCACAGAAACTGGTCTAACTCTCATGCCTGACAGAGACACCAACTCCCTTTGCAACAGGATCTCAATGTTTTATATACTTCTCTTCAACACATGTCACTGGCTGCCAGATTAAATAAAGGAAGGCCAGTTACATCTGAACTTCAGATAATGACTTTTTTTTTTTTTTAGTATATCTCAAATACTGCATAGCATATACTTATCCTAAATAGGTGTTTGTTGTTTATCTGAAATTCAAATTTAGCTAGGTATCTTGTATCTTTGTTTGCTAAGTCCGGCACTTATTTAACCCATAGTCCCTCAGTTTTCCTATCAAGAAGTAATATAGAGGGACTTCCCTGGTGGCGCAGTGGTTAAGAATCTGCCTGCCAATGCAGGGGACATGGGTTGGAGCCCTGGTGCAGGAAGATCCCACATGCTGCAGAGCAACTAAGCCCGTGCACCACAACTAGTGAGCCGGCGCTCTAGAGCCCGCAAGCCACAACTACTGAGCCCTTGTGCCACAACTACTGAAGCCTGCATGCCTAGAGCCCATGCTCTGCAACAAGAGAAGCCACCTCAATGAGAAGCCCGTGAGCTGCAACTAAGACCCAACGCAGCCCAAGATAAACTTTATTTAAAAAAAGAAAAAAGAGGTAATATAGAAATACTCACTGGGAATAGATACAGAGGCAAGAGCTCCCACCCAGCGTCTTCTAAACTTCTTCCTTTGATTGATGTACTGCAAGAGACTATAGGACAGATAAGTCAGCAAGAGTAAAACAAGAAACTTTTTTTTGCTATGGGGATGCAAAGGCCTGACAGGAACCACAAAGAACACAACCTGCTGA